GATTGCATTGAATCTGTAGATTGCTTTAGGCAATATGGCCATTTTGACAATATTAATTCTTCCTATCCATGAGCACGGGATGTATTTCCATTTACTGGTGTCTTCTTTAATTTCTCTCAAGTGTCTTGTAGTTTTCAGGGTATAGGTCTTTTTACCTCCTTGGTTAGGTTTATTCCTAAGTATCTTATTCTTTTTGATGCAATTGTGAATGGAATTGCTTTCCTGATTTCTCTGCTAGTTTATTATTAGTATATAGGAATGCAACAGATTTCTGTGTATTAATATTGATTTTGTGTCCTGCAACTTTGCTGAATTCAGTTATTAGTTCTACTAATTGGAGTGGATTCTTTAGGGTTTTTTATGTTCAGTATCATGTCATCTGCAAACAGGGACAGTTTAACTTCTTCTTTGCCAATCTGGATGCCTTTCATTTCTTTGTGTTGTCTGATTGCTGTGGCGAGGACCTCCAGTACTATGTTGAATAACAGTGGGGAGCGTGGGCATCCCTGTCTCGTTCCCGATCTTAACGAACAAGCTTTCAGCTTCTCGCTGTTCAGTATGATGTTGGCCTTGGGCTTGTCATATGTGGTCTTTATTTTGTTGAGGTACTTGCCCTCTATGCCCATTTTGTTGAGAGTTTTTATCATGAAGGGATGTTGAATTTTGTCGAATGCATTTTCAGCATCTATGGAGATGATCGTGTGGTTTTTGTCCTTCTTTTTGTTGATGTGCTGGAAGATGTTGATGGATTTTCGAATGTTGTACCATCCTTGTATCCCTGGGATGAATCCCACTTGGTCATGATGGATGATCTTTTATGACTTCTTTTCTAAGTGTGTGTTTAAAATTTTTGCTCATTTGAATTGAGGGTGTGTTTTTCTTTTTGTCTTTTTCAATTGATTTGTACTTCATCTGGATGCAAGTATTTTGTCAGATATATACACTGCCTTTCATTTTCACAAGAATGTTTTTCAAGACCAGAAGTATTATGATGAAATATAATTTATCAAATGTTCTTTTATGACTCACACCGTTTGTATCCTGCCTAAGAAAATTTTGCCTCCCCCAAGATGGCAAAAATTTTCTACTGTTTTCTGCTAGAAAATACTTTCCCTCTAGAAAATAGTTTTAGTTTTTACATTTTATGATTCATTTTGGGTTGATTTTTACGTGTGATGTGAGGTAAGTGTCCAGGTTTTTCATTCCCCCCAAAAATATTGGTTGTCCCAGCAACATTGTCAAAAAGAGTACTGTTTTCCTTAAATTAATTTGGCTGCTTTGTCAACAACAATCAATTGGTCCTCCAAAGTGTGGGACTCTTCTGGACTCTCTGTGCTGTTCCATGGAGCTGTGTGTTCATATCATACTGTCTTGATTCTACTGGTGGTCAGAAAAAATACCTAGTACAATTTAAATTATTTTCAATTTCTCGAGGTGTATTTAATGAGCTTGCATTATAGGTTATCTTGATGAGTGTCCCATGCGCACTTGAGGGGAATGCGTGTTCCGCTACTGTCAGGCAGAGTGGCCCCTAAGTGTCCCTTCTGTCTCAGTGATTGGCAGCTGCTCCAGGTGTTCTTAGCTCAGTTATTTTGTGAGGCAGTTGATTGTGGAGGGAGTGTTAGAGATCCGTGTTTTAATTGTGGATTTGTCTATTTGTCTATTCGGTTCTGCCAGTTTTCAGTTCAGTGTTTTTAACTCTGTTATTAGGTATATAGAGACAGGTTTATTATTTTTTGAACGAATTACCCCCTTTATCATTGTGAGATGATTAGTTTTTGCATGGTACATATTTTCCCTTCCTTTCTCTTTTAACCTATCTGTATGATTATATTTATGGTGTACTTCTTGTAAATAGCATAAATCTCATCTGACAAATCTCTGCCTTTTGACTGGAATTTTAAGTTCCTTTATACTTAAGGTAATCAGAAATATGATTGGTTTAAATCCTACTATCTTGGTAGTTGTACTTTATTTTTCCCCATCTCTTCTTTGCCCCTCTTCCCCCTTTCCTTACCTTTTTGAGGATTAATTAAATATATTTACATATATATAATCACTCAATAACATACATGCTAGATATACATTGTCTGTGTTTATATACAGTGCCTTTGTTTAGTTTTCCAGGTCTTTCCACCATCAGCTTATCAGCTATGTGTCTCTTTAGTGGTTGCTTTATGGATTTATGCTCATCTCAGTACCTTCAAAAGATATCACACCGCCTCGTGTGTGATGTCAGAGCTTTACCACAGTGACTCTCCTACGCCAGCCAGTCCTTCAAATGCTAGTCCTCCTGGGCTTTACCTCTCCATATGTTAAATCGACATTTGATCATTCTGGTTTTACCAGTTAATCACCTTTTTCTTTCACAGCAGTTCTAAACGTGGAATGGGTGTGTTGTCATGTTAATATGAGACTTTTGGACCCCCAACCCCCAGGGCGGGGCTGGAGGCTGAATCAGCCAATGGCCAGTAATTTAGTCAATCGTGACTGTGCAGTGCAGCCTCACAGAACCCGCGAAAGGAGCGTATCTCTGCGTCTCAGCCTAGGAGAGCTTCCTTGCCTGGAGCGCCAGGTGCCTCGTGTGCCACAGAGCTGGGCCGGTGAGGACCGAAGCTCCTTTATCTGGGACCCCGCCTTGTGCCCTTTACGGTCTCCTTCGTTAACCTGGTAAACGTGTTTTCCTGAGGCGTGTGAGCCACTCCAGCAAGTTAGTCGAACCCAAGGGGGAGGTCGTGGGGACTGTGTTCCAACGAAACCTAACAAAACAGGCAACGAGCTGGGTTTAGCGCCCAGGCCCCAGACTGTCAGCTCCTCGCGCTGGGCAGTGATTCTAATGCCATCTTGTTGGGCACAGTATATACAGAGGATACACATGTGGCAGCAAACAGCAAAAAGGAGTGGGAGGGCGAGGAGACCTGCCGGATCAAAGTCTGTGCCAGGCAGAAGTGGGCACTGCCCGGGGCCGGGGTGGGGGGAGGAGGCCTGACCTGAATGGGCCCCAGAGAGCCTGGGGGTGACGCGCACATTCCAGAGCTGACTGTGCTGGCCGTTGCACAACTCTGTAAAAGTACTAAAATGACTGAATTCTGCATTTACAGTGGGTGGGCTTTATGGTATATAAGTCATACCTCAAAAGAGATGTGAAAAAAAAATGGATTCTAAAAAAAATTAATTCTGTTTAATGCAGTTAATTACCTGGAAAAGTATGGAGAAGTAATGCATATGAGCACTGGCGTACGGAGGACGGGTCGGGGTCGGTCGGGAGCGCAGGGGACCGCCTGGGGTTGGGGTGGGGGGCAGTCCTGCAGGACTGAGCCCTTAACCTGGGAATCTGGTGCGTCTCCAGGCAGAGACCGTCAGGATTGAGTCGAGTTTGTGGACACCCTGCTGGCGTTCGAGAACTGCTTGGTGTTAGTATGTGTGGGAAGACCCCCTCCCACACGCTTACACACTATGGAATCGGGCCCGGGACCCCGAATGGAGTTATACTATTACTGCTGCATATGTTGTTGTTGCAGCCGCCACCGGGGGAGGGGCGGAGGGTGTGTTAGCATGTCCACAGGGCTCAAGGCTCCTTTCGGGCACCACCCTGGCCTTTATCAAATCAGCCCACATCTGGGCCCTTGAGGCCTTCACGGGGCCTTTTGCACCTCTCCTTTCAGTCGTGGCCTGTACTTCCCTCCGTGCCCTTGTGAAGTCAATTCTGCAAGGGGAAGGGGTGTCTGGCAGGGATGGCCCCAGCCAGGGCGGACAGGGAGCCCCCCGGCAGTGAAGAGCCCCCCTCCCAGCCGTTCTGGGGACAATAAGTACTGTGCGATGTTGGCAGGGAGGGCCGCCTACTGGGCCTGGGCCGCCAGCACCTCCCTCCGTGCACAGGGCGCTGTGGATGCCGGAATCCGTGAACACCGGCCCGCTCGCTGCCCCATCTGCAGCGCAGAAGAGACACCTTCAAAGGGCTTCTCGTCTGGAAGGCGGCGGAATGTCCCGTCCCGCCTTCCAGCTTCCATGGTGTCAGGTGTTGACTGCATTGTCGTGCCCTTCAGTGGGACAGGTCGTTTTTCTCATTTTCAAAATTCTCTCTTTGTCCTCGTCATTCGACTGCGGCGTCTCTGGGTCTGGATCTCTTGGTGTTTGTCCCGGGGTTTGTGGAGCTCCTTGGATCTGCAGACGTGTTCGGCGTTGTCCCTTCAGACACTGTGTGCACCTTTTCTCGCCCTTCCTCGGAGACCTCGGCTGGGCACACTGGTGCCCTAGACGGCACTCAGCTCCCAGATGCCCTACTCGTTTTCCATCTGACTTTTACCCGTGTTCTTTCAGTTAGCCAGTTTCTATTAATTTGCAGGTTTTTTAGTTCTTCTGGGGTCTCAGTTCTGCCGTTGAGTCCCTCTAGTGACCTTTCAACTCCGGAATTCCTCCTTGGCTCTTTAAAATTAATTCTATTTCTTTATGACATTCTCCCTTCATTGAGCCAACATATTTTCCAATCATTCTTTAGACGTGGTTTCCTTTAGTTTTTTTTTAACAGATTTGTAATAATTGCTTTGAAGGCTGTGCTAACCCAGCATCTGTGGGTGTTCAGTCGTAGTTTCTGTTAACTGCGTTGCTCCTTGGTGAGGGTCACACTTTCCCAGTTCTTTGCCTGTCATGTTATTTTTTGTTGAATGCTGGACATTATGGGTTTTAACTCTGCATCCCAATTTCCCCTCGTGGTTGTGACTATCTATTAGTTTGTGTGTTTTTAAGTGACTTTCTTGGACTGACCCTGTGAAATCCGCCTACCTTGACCGAGTGTCCCCACCCCCATCCTGGCTCATAGCCAACCAGCTCAGTGTCACGACCTCCCCAGCCCACTGGCTGGGAGCCTCCCCTCCCACGTGTGCTCTCAGACCCAGAGCCCAGGGCAGGGTCCCGTCACCTGCATGGTATGATGCGCCGCTGGGCCCCTCTGACCAGGCCCCCCGCCTGCAGGCTCCGCTAACTCAGCCTTCTCTCCACAGTATCTGGCCAGCAGCTGCAGCCGGAAGAGGCCAGCGCAGAGGCCGAGGAGGCCCACCCTGTAAGTGAGGCCCCAGGGGCATGCGGGCCCTCTTCATGCCCTGCCCCACTCCTTTCCTGGGCCTGGCAGAGCCTGGGCCGCTGAGGGTCACCTGACTCTTTCCCTCCTGCCAGGTGACTGTAGGGCCTGCGGATGAGATCGTTCGGCCGCGGCCACAGGGGTCCTCACCTGTCTACGAATGTGTGGCTGAGGGTGCTGGCCTTGGATTTGCGGTAAGCCTGCTGGACAGGGACCCACAGGTGAGGGAAGGCCCAGGGTGGGGCCACAGTGGCCACTTTTCCTCCTGTGTCACCCTGTGTGGGCAGTTCTCACCAATGTGTATGCAGCCACAACTCCCTCCCCTGCTGCCCACTGGGCCTCAGCCGTGCCCACTCACTGTCCTGGCTCCTTTGCCCCTGGGCCCTCCCTTCCACTAGCCCAGAGGCAGTCAAGGGGTCAGTGTGTGCACGCGGGGAACAGACCTCATGTGCCTGTGTGTGGCAGAGCACAGGATGTGTGTGCCCACCTGATGTCTCTGGAGAGGCCTGGGGGAACGCACTGGAGCAGGCATCTTCACCCGATGACTCATTCTTATTCTGTTTGTATTTCTTTCTTACCTTCCACACACAAAATCCCAGTTGCCATGGGGGTTACCTGGGGAGTGGGAGCTGAGAGCTGGGGGCCAGGCCCTTTCAGGAAACACAGAGGCGAGGAGTGCCCTTTGCCTGGAGGAACCCTGCCCCTTCTGCATGCAGCTGCATGCCGGAGGTTCTGGGTCTCTGAGTGGGGTCTCCTGGCCTCCCCGAGTCCCTCCTGTCCCCTGGCTGGCAGGTGGCTGACCCCCGATGTCTGTGGCTGCAGGAAGACACACCGAGCAGACACAGCTCCTCAGGGAGACGGAGATCCTGGTGGAAGCGGGATTCAGGGGACTCACGAACGTCTTCCAGGATGAGTCGGCCAGAGGTGGGCATGGACGGGTGCTGAGGCTCAGAGGTGGGGGCTCCTCAGGGGCTCCAGCCAGAGATGCAGGGCCAGAGCAAGAAGGAAGAGGGCAGGGAGGCTGGTAGGATGCCCCCGTGCCTTGGGAAGGGCGTGCCTGTTTCCCTGGCCATGCCCATCCAGGGGATGGCCAGGTGCTTCAGGACGCTGATCCAGGCTTCCCCTATGACGAAGAGCCCAGATTCCTGGCCAGTGGACAGGCCTGACCTAGGTGGACAGGCCTCAGTGTTCTCAGCTGTGCAGTGGGCAAGGCTGCTGCCTGCTGCCCACGCAGGCCACAGAGGGGCTACATGCTGTGGGTTCACCGTGAGGAGGCCGCTCTGAGTCCTGCGGCAGCCTGCTTTGTCCCTGGTGGCCCCCCATTGTGGCCAAGGTCAGGCCACCACTGCTGTCGGCTCTGTTTTCCTCGGCTTTATGACCCTCCTTGGTTTGGGCAATCGCAGCCTCGTATGTGATTGATGCTCGGGGCACGAGAAGGCAAACGGAGCCGGGGGAGGAGGCTGGGGCTGCTGTGTGAGAAGAAGCCTCTCCTCCCAGCTCGTAAGCCCTGCTTGGCCTGGTGGGGACACAGGCTGAGTACTGGCAGGCGGGACGGGGAGGAGGCCGCCCCCACTGCCGCCGGCTTCCCCCAGAGCGCGCACACAGCACCGGGGCCTGGCGGGCCGGGGCCTCCACTTCCCCTGGCCCTGGGCCGTCTGAGTGATGGGCGGGACATCTGGGTGGACGTCCTCAGGGGAGGCCACCCCCAGCTGATGCCCGGGGGGGACAGTCATATGCGCAGCACACCCTGATGTGCGTCTGCCCGGTCCATGCAGGAGGCAACGGAGGTGACCCTAAGGACCGAGGTGGACACTGGAGCCAGTGGCTACAGTGTCACAGGCGGTGCGGAGCAGGGGATCTTTGTCAAGCAAGTGCTGAAGGGTTCCACGGCTGCCAAGCTCTTCAGCCTGAGAGAAGGTGCCACAGCCACCCGTCCCTAGGGTCCCCAGGGTCCCAGTCAGGGTGGGAGGGATGTGGAGGGGGCCTGGGCCTTACCTTGAGACTCAGCCCCTTCCGGGCTGGGGATGGCACTGTGCGGGGCTGCCTCGCCTGTGCAAAGGCAGGTTCCTTCCCACCCTGGGCTCAGAGAGGGGCTGGCTGGGCAGCCGCGGTGGGTGTTCTCCTCTTCCGCTTAGCCCTGCACACAGCTGGCCCACAGCAGGACCGGGAGAACTAAGTCCCGAAGGCCCACTCTGTCTTTGTCTAGGGGATCAGCTGCTCAGCACAACCATATTCTTTGATGACATTAAATATGAAGACGCTCTCAAAATCCTTCAGTACTCAGAGCCCTACAAGGTTCAGTTCCAAATCAAACGGAGACTTCCTGCCGGAGAGGACCAGGAGTGGGCCTCCAGCAGCGCTCCACGTGACCCGGAGGACAGTGAGATGCAGGTGAGGTGCCATGGCCAGCAGGGCTGGGCCCGGCCCACCTCCCCATGCCCAGAGCCCCAGGCCAGGACGGGCCCCGCCCCCACTCCCCACGGCCCCCACACCCACACGCGTGCTCTCCCTGTGTTTCAGGACAAGGCTGTTGCAGACGGTGACACAGAGATGCCCAGCACGGCGCTGGAAGGAGGTGGAGACCAAGAGAGACTCATCTCCAAACCCAGGGAAGGCCGAGGCAGGCGACCCAGGAACGAGAGGGTGTCCTGGCCCAAATTCCAAGCAATAAAGCCCAAGCGTGGGCCAGGGCCCCGGAGGTCACACAGCTCCTCAGAGGCCTGTGTGCGGGGGGACGGCCCTGACGCGTCCCCCCCACACACAGACACCGAGGCCCAGCTCCCAGCAGAGGGGCAGGAGCTGAAGGCAGGGCCGGACAACCAGCCCCGGAGACGGTTCCTGAACCTGAGATTCCGGGTGGGCACGGGAAAGGGCCTGGTGCCAGTGGGACGACCAGGAAGAGAGGCCCCGGGTGGGCTGCCCCAGGCTGGGGTCCTGGAGGAGGCAGGGACCCTGGGTGATGCCAAAGAGGACGCCAGGACTGCGCACAGAGAGGACAGGATGGCAGAGGCGCAGGAGGGGCCCGCGGCTCCGAGCGAGCAGCAGCGCACAGAGCCCAGCCTGCCTGGTGAGGACTCCCTGGGGGAAGGGGCCAGGGTGACACCCAGACGCCCAAGGAGGACCAAGGAGGGGAAGGTCCAGGAGGAGACAGTGGCACAGGGGAAGCCGGGGCCAGGCCCAGCCCCAGGGCAAGAAGGACAGGCGCACAGGGAGGGAGAGCCTGGCCTGGAGACCGGGGTTGCCAGCCTGTCTCTGCAGGCCGCCGCGGACGTGGTCAGCACACACAGCCGCCCACCGGAGTTCCCGGTTCGAATACCCACTTTAAAAACACCCAAGTTTGGATTTTCCAAAGAAGCAGTGCTGGACACAGAAGGAGGAATGATGGCGCTCCAGCCGGAGCGGAGGAGGGGCCACCCCGGGAGGAAAGACACAGTGGGGGAGCAGGCAGATGGAGGAGCGGACAGGCAGGGGGACCGAAGTGCAGCCCAGGGGCCACCACGAGAGACGGAAGCAGGAGCAGCGGACAGGACGCAGGATGGCGAGGAGTACAGCAAGGCTGGGGACAACGACACGGAGGGATGGGACGGAAGGATGAAGACGCTGAGGTTCAAAATGCCCTCGTTTGGGTGGCCACCAGGAAGGGAGCCGAGGGCACCCGCGGTGAGAGTTCTGCAGGGACGGGAGATGGAAAAGGGAAGCCCAGCCCTGCAGACGGCCACGCACACAGATGGGAGCAGAAGACCTACAGCAGAAGGAGGAGACACAGATGTACAAGAACCAGGACAGACACGGAGAGAAGAGGGACAGAGTGGCAGGAAGGACAGGCACACCACCCCGGGAGACGGGACGGACGCCAAGGACAGCAAGTTCAAAATGCCTAAGTTCAAGATGCCATCCTTCGGCATGTCTGCACCAAGCACATCCACGGAGGCCTCTGTGGACGTGTACCTGCCAAAGGCTCGGGCAGAGGTGTGCCTTCCCTCCATTCACAGCGACATCAACACCACTGACCTCCCAATTGGACTCCCATCTGCTGACCTGGACATCAAGGCCGCTGAGGTGGGCCTGAAGCTCCCGGAGGGCCATGTGCCCAGGGGAGAACTCCAGGAGGTGGCAGCGGGAGCCGGACTCACAGGACACCTGCCCAAGTTGCAGATGCCCAGCATTAAGATGCCCGAGGTGGACGTGAAGGGCCCCCAGGTGGACATCAAGGGGCCCAAGCTGGATGTGAAGGGCACAAAAGGGGAGGCAGCCATCCCTGATGTGGAGGTATCTGTGCCTAGCATTGAGGTGGACATCAAGGTGCCAGATGCCAACCTGGAGGGCGACCTGTCCCTGGGAGACAAGGAGGTATCTTCCAGAGACAGCAAGTTCAAAATGCCCAAGTTCAAGATGCCATCCTTTGGTGTGTCTGCACCAAGCAAGGATTTGGAAACCTCAGTGGGCGTGCCTGTGCCCAAGGTCACAATGGAGGCCACCCGGCCCTTCCTGGGAGGAGAGCTCCAGGCCTCAGAGTGTAGCGTCCAACTGCCCTCGGCTGATGTGCACCTGCCCAGAGGAGAGCTGGAGGTGGCCCTCCCCGGGGCCGAGTTGATGGCATCCGAGCTGAAGGGCAAAGTGGAAGGGACCCAGATCAAAGCCCACCTGCCCAAGGTGCAGATGCCCAGCATCAAGATGCCCAAGGTGGATGTCAAGGCCCCCAGCATGGACATCAAGGGTCCCAGCATGAACTTGAAAAGCAGGAAAAGAGAAGTGGGATCCCCCGACGTGGAGGTGGCCCTGCCCACTGTCAAGGTGGACATCCAGGTGCCAGATGCGAAGCTGGAAGGCGACCTGTCCCTGGGAGACAAGGAGGTGTCCACCAGAGATAGCAAGTTCAAAATGCCCAAGTTCAAGATGCCGTCCTTTGGCATGTCTGTGCCAAGCACATCCACAGAGGCCTCGGTGGACCTGTCCCTGCCAAAGGCCCAGGACGACGTGTGCCTGCCTTCCATCCAGGCTGATGTCAAGACCAGTGACCTCCCCATTGAGCTCCCATCTACCGACCTGGACGTCAAGACCGCTGAGTTGGTCCTGAAGCTCCCGGAGGGCCATGTGCCCGGGGGAGAGTTCCAGGAGGCGACAGTGGGAGCTGGACTCACAGGACACCTGCCCAAGTTGCAGATGCCCAGCATCAAGATGCCCAAGGTGGACTTGAAGGGCCCCCGGGTGGACATCAAGGGGCCCAAGCTGGACATGAAGGGCACAAAAGGGGAGCCGGCCATCCCCGACATGGAGATGGACATCCAGGTGCCAGGTGCTAAGCTCGAGGGTGACCTGTCCCTGGGAGACAAGGAGGTGCCCACCAGAGACAGCAAGTTCAAAATGCCCAAGTTCAAGATGCCGTCCTTTGGCATGTCTGCACCAAGCAAGGATTTGGAAACCTCAGTGGACGTGCCTGTGCCCAAGGTCGCAGTGGAGGCAACCCGGCCCTCCCTGGGAGGAGAGACCCAGGCCCCAGAGTGCAGTGTCCAGCTGCCTTCGGCTGATGTGCACCTGCCTGGGGGAGAGCTGGAGGTGGCCCTACCCGGGGCCAAGGTGACAGTATTCGAGCTGAAGGGCAAAGCGGAAGGGGCCCAGATCAAGGCCCACCTGCCCAAGGTGCAGATGCCCAGCATCAAGATGCCCAAGGTGGACATCAAGTGCCCCAGCGTGGACGTCAAGCACCCCAGCGTAGATATCAAAGGCCCCAGTGTGGATGTCAAGGGCCCCAGCATGGATGTGATAGGAGAAGTGGCTGTCCCCAGCCCAGACATGGACATCCAGGCACCAGGGTCCAAGCTGGAGGGTGAACTGTCCTTGACAAGCAAGGAGGTAGCCGCGAGAGACAGCAAGTTCAAAATGCCCAAGTTCAAGATGCCGTCCTTTGGCGTGTCTTTGCCAAGCATATCCACAGAGGCCTCGATGAATGTGTCCCTGCCAAAGGCCCAGGCCGAAGTGTGCCTGCCTTTCATCCAGGCTGACGTCAAGGCCAGTGACCACCCCATTGAGCACCCATCTGCTGACCTCAATGTCAAGACTGCTGAGGTGGGCCTGAAGCTCCCGGAGGGCCACGTGCCCGGGGGAGAGCTCCAGGAGGCGGCAGTGGAAGCCGGACTCACAGGACACCTGCCCAAGTTGCAGATGCCCAGCATCAAGATGCCCAAGGTGGACTTCAAGGGCCCCCGGGTGGACATCAAGGGGCCCAAGCTGGACATTAAGGGTGCTAAAGGGGAGATGGCCATCCCTGATTTGGAGGTGGCCGTGCCCAGCATGGAGGTGGACATCCAGGTGCCAGGTGCCAAGCTGGAGGGCGACCTGTCCCTGGGAGACAAGGAGGTGTCTGCTAGACACAGCAAGTTCAAAATGCCCAAGTTCAAGATGCCGTCCTTTGGCGTGTCTGCACCAAGCAAGGATTTGGAAACCTCAGTGGACGTGCCTGTGCCCAAGGTTGCAGTGGAGGCCACCCGGCCCTTCCTGGGAGGAGAGCTCCAGGCCCCAGAGTGCAGCGTCCAGTTGCCCCCAGCTGATGTGCACCCGCCTGGGGGAGAGCTGGAGGTGGCCCTTCCCAGGGCTGAGGTAACAGTATCTGAACTGAAGGGCAAAGCGGAAGGGGCCCAGATCAAGGCCCACCTGCCCAAGGTGCAGATGCCTGAGGTGGATGTTAAGGCCCCCAGCGTGGACATCAAGGGCCCTAGCATGCACATGAAAGGCAAGAAGGGAGAAATAGCATCCCCTGACATGCAGGTGGCCATGCCCAGCATGGAGGTGGATACACAGGAGTCAGGTGCTAAGCTGGAGGGTGACCTGTCTCTGACAAGCAAGGAGGTGGCCATCAGAGACAGCAAATTCAAAATGCCCAAGTTCAAGATGCCGTCCTTCGGCGTGTCTGCAGCAAGAAAGGATTTGGAAACCTCAGTGGACGTGCCTGTGCCCAAGGTCGCAGTGGAGGCGACCCGGCCCTCCCTGGGAGGAGAGACCCAGGCCCCAGAGTGCAGCGTCCAACTGCCATCGGCTGATGTGCACCTGCCTAGGGGAGAGCTGGAGGTGGCTCTTCCCAGGGCTGACATGACGGTATCTGAGCTGAAGGGCAAAGCGGAAGGGGCCCAGATCAAGGCCCACCTGCCCAAGGTGCAGATGCCCAGCATCAAGATGCCCAAGGTGGACATCAAGGGCCCCAGCGTGGATGTCAAGCGCCCCAGCATGGATGTGAGAGGAGAAGTGGCTGTCTCCAGCCCGGACGTGGACATCCAGGTGCCAGGGGCCAAGCTGGAGGGTGAACTGTCCTTGACAAGCAAGGAGGTGGCTGTGAGAGACAGCAAGTTCAAAATGCCCAAGTTCAAGATGCCATCCTTCGGCGTGTCTGTGCCAAGCACATCCACAGAGGCCTCGGTGGACGTGTCCCTGCCAAAGGCCCAGGACGACGTGTGCCTGCCTTCCCTCCAGGCTGACGTCAAGACCAGTGACCTCCCCATTGAGCTCCCATCTGCCGACCTGGACGTCAAGACTGCTGAGGTGGTCCTGAAGCTCCCGGAGGGCCATGTGCCCGGGGGAGAGCTCCAGGAGGTGGCAGCGGGAGCCGGACTCACAGGACACCTGCCCAAGTTGCAGATGCCCAGCATCAAGATGCCCAAGGTGGACTTCAAGGGCCCCCGGGTGGACATCAAGGGGCCCAAGCTGGACATTAAGGGTGCTAAAGGGGAGATGGCCATCCCTGATTTGGAGGTGGCCGTGCCCAGCATGGAGGTGGACATCCAGGTGCCAGGTGCCAAGCTGGAGGGTGACCTGTCCCTGGGAGACAAGGAGGTGTTCACCAGAGACAGCAAGTTCAAAATGCCCAGGTTCAAGATGCCATCCTTCAGCGTGTCTGCACCAAGCAAGGATTTGGAAACCTCAGTGGACATGCCTGTGCCCAAGGTTGCAGTGGAGGCCACCCGGCCCTTCCTGGGAGGAGAGCTCCAGACCCCAGAGTGTAGCGTCCAGGTGCCATCGGCTGATGTGCACCTGCCTGGAGGAGAGCTGGAGGTGGCCCTCCCCGGGGGCGAGGTGACGGTATCCGAGCTGAAGGGCAAAGCGGAAGGGGCCCAGATCAAGGGCCACCTGCCCAAGGTGCAAATGCCCAGCATCAAGATGCCCGAGGTGTATGTCAAGTGCCCTAGCATGGACCTCAAGGTCCCCTGTGTGGCCATCAAGGGCCCCAGTGTGGACAGGAGAGGAGAAGTGGCTGTCCCCAGCCCAGTCGTGGACATCCAGGTTGCGGGTGCCAAGCTGGAGGGTGAACTGTCACTGGCAAGCAAGGAAGTGGCCATCAGAGACAGCAAGTTCAAAATGCCCAAATTCAAGATGCCGTCCTTCGGCATGTCTGTACCAAGCACATCCACAGAGGCCTCGGTGGACGTGTCCCTGCCAAAGGCCCAGGACGACGTGTGCCTGCCTTCCCTCCAGGCTGACGTCAAGACCAGTGACCTCCCCATTGAGCTCCCATCTGCCGACCTGGACGTCAAGACTGCTGAGGTGGTCCTGAAGCTCCCGGAGGGCCATGTGCCCGGGGGAGAGCTCCAGGAGGCGGCAGCGGGAGCCGGACTCACAGGACACCTGCCCAAGTTGCAGATGCCCAGCATCAAGATGCCCAAGGTGGACTTGAAGGGTCCCCGGGTGGACATCAAGGGGCCCAAGCTGGACATTAAGGGTGCTAAAGGGGAGACGGCCATCCCTGATGTGGAGGTGGCTGTGCCCAGCATGGAGGTGGACATCCAGGTGCCAGGTGCTAAGCTGGAGGGTGACCTGTCCCTGGGAGACAAGGAGGTGTTCACCAGAGACAGCAAGTTCAAAATGCCCAAGTTCAAGATGCCGTCCTTTGGCGTGTCTGCACCAAGCAAGGATTTGGAAACCTCAGTGGACGTGCCTGTGCCCAAGGTCACATTGGAGGCCACCCGGCCCTCCCTGGGAGGAGAGCTCCAGGCCCCAGAGTGCAGCGTCCAGCTGCCATCAGCTGATGTGCACCTGCCCGGGGGAGAGCTGGAGGTTGCCCTACCCGGGGCTGAGGTGATGGCATACGAGCTGAAGGGCAAAGCGGAAGGGGCCCGGATCAAGGCCTACCTGCCCAAGGTGCAGATGCCCAGCACCAAGATGCCTGAGGTGGATGTCAAGCGCCCTAGCATGCACATCAAGGGCCCCAGCGTGGACATGAGAGGAGAAGTGGCTTTACCCAGGTCGGATATGGACATCCACGTGGCGGGTGCCAAGCTGGAGGGCGACCTCTCCCTGGGAGACAAGGAGGTGTCCGCCAGACACAGCAAGTTCAAAATGCCCAAGTTCAAGATGCCGTCCTTTGGCGTGTCTGCACCAAGCAAGGATTTGGAAACCTCAGTGGACGTGCCTGTGCCCAAGGTCACAGTGGAGGCCACCCAGCCCTTCCTGGGAGGAGAGCTCCAGACCCCAGAGTGTAGCGTCCAGGTGCCATCGGCTGATGTGCACCTGCCTGGGCGAGAGCTGGAGGTGGCCCTCCCCAGGGCTGAGGTGATGGCATACGAGCTGAAGGGCAAGGCAGAAGGGTCCCGGATCAAGGCCCACCTGCCCAAGATGCAGATGCCCAGCATCAAGATGCCCAATGTCGACATCAAGAGCCCCAGCACAGATATCAAAGGCCCCAGTGTGGATGTGAGAGAAGTGGCTGTCCCCAGCCCAGACGTGGACATCCAGGTGCCGGGTGCCAAGCTGGAGGGTGACCTGTCTCTGACAAGCAAGGAGGTGGCCGTCAGAGACAGCAAGTTCAAAATGCCCAAGTTCAAGATGCCGTCCTTCGGCGTGTCTGTACCAAGCACATCCACAGAGGCCTCAGTGGACGTGTCTCTGACAAAGGCCCAGGACGACGTGTGCCTGCCTTCCCTCCAGGCCGACGTCAAGACCAGTGACCTCCCCATTGAACTCCCATCAGCTGACCTGGATGTTAAGACTGCTGAGGTGGGCCTGAAGCTCCCGGAGGGCCATGTGCCCGGGGGAGAGCTCCAGGAGGCGGCAGTGGGAGCTGGACTCACAGGACACCTGCCCAAGTTGCAGATGCCCAGCATCAAGATGCCCAAGGTGGACTTGAAGGGTCCCCGGGTGGACATCAAGGGGCCCAAGCTGGACATTAAGGGTGCTAAAGGGGAGACAGCCATCCCTGATGTGGAGGTGGCCGTGCCCAGCATGGAGGTGGACATCCAGGTGCCAGGTGCTAAGCTGGAGGGTGACCTGTCCCTGGGAGACAAGGAGGTGTTTGCCAGAGACAGCAAGTTCAAAATGCCCAAGTTCAAGATGCCGTCCTTTGGCGTGTCTGCACCAAGCAAGGATTTGGAAACCTCAGTGGACGTGCCTGTGCCCAAGGTCACAGTGGAGGCCACCCGGCCCTTCCTGGGAGGAGAGCTCCAGGCCCCAGAGTGCAGCGTCCAGTTGCCATCGGCTGATGTGCACCTGCCTGGAAGAGAGCTGGAGGTGGCCCTTCCCGGGGCCAAGGTGATGGTATCCGAGCTGAAGGGCAAAGTGGAAGGGGCCCGGATCAAGGCCCACCTGCCCAAGGTGCAGATGCCCAGCATCAAGATGCCCAGTGTGGACGTCAATGACCCCAGCGTGGACATCAAGGGCCCTAGCATGCACGTGAAAGGGAAGAAGAGAGAAGTGGCATCCCCTGACATGCAGGTGGCCGTGCCCAGCATCAAGGTGGACATCCAGGAGCCAGGTGCCAAGCTGGAGGGTGACCTGTCTCTGACAAGCAAGGAGGTGGCCGTCAGAGACAGCAAGTTCAAAATGCCCAAGTTCAAGATGCCGTCCTTTGGCGTGTCTGCACCAAGCAAGGATTTGGAAACCTCAGTGGATGTGCCTGTGCCCAAGGTCGCAGTGGAGGCGACCCGGCCCTCCCTGGGAGGAGAGATCCAGGCCCCAGAGTGCAGCGTCCAGCTGCCGTCGGCTGATGTGCACCTGCCCGGGGGAGAGCTGGAGGTGGCCCTTCCCGGGGCCGAGGTGACGGTATCCGAGGTGAAGGGCAAAGCGGAAGGGGCCCGGATCAAGGCCCACCTGCCCAACGTGCAGATGCCCAGCACCAAGATGCCCAAGATGGACTTCAAGGCCCCTAGCGTGGACATCAAGGGTCCCAGTGTGGATTTGCATGTCATGGAGGGAGAGGTGACTGTTCCCAGATCCACTGTGCCCCTGGAGGTGCCTCTGGAATCTCCGTCTGTGTCACAGGGGGACGCTCCCTGGCCCAGCCTCCAAGGTACTCCAGTGTCCCCCGCCTTCATGAGCATTCTCTTGTCCCAGGTGGACAGTGGGACTGGCCCAAAAGATTCACCATTTCCCACATCTTGTGTTCAAGTGACTTTTCCTAAGTTTCCTCGGCCGAGGTTCGTGTTTTCAGTCCCAAGAGCTGGTACTGCTGAGGCGCAGCCTGCTTCCACAGAATGTGCCCTAGCACTGTCTCCTCCGAGCCCCGTGCGCCGACCGGACTCATCAGCTGGGGAAGCCACAGTGTTCCTGCTGCCGTCTGCAGGTGTCTCTGTGTCCACGGGGACAGAGGGGCTGTCAGGCACTGTGGGAACATCAGCCATGGCTTCAGAGGCCACTCCAGCTGCCGACGCCCACTGCGAAGGGAAAGGCAATTCCCTGAAAATGCCAAAGCTCAAGCTTCCATCCTTCAGGTCATCCCCGAAGAAGGGAGCAGGGTCCAGAGAGGAACCTGTTGGCAGCCTGGGGGTTGCAGAGATCAGCCTGGTTGTAGGTCCGGTCCCATCGGACATCCCAGCTGGCGTTCATGCTGCACGGATGGACGCACCCCCAGATGTGACTCCTGAAAAGGACGCAGAGAAAGGAGTGGTCCGCACCCCTGGCTTTGCTGGGCTGGCGCCCCTGCTCCCCAGCACGGGGGCTCCTCTGAGAGGGGCCTGGCTGCTGCACACAGACTCTGACTCTTCCCTGTCCAGTCCCCCAGGAAGGACTGAGTCTCCAGCCACAGGAACCAGCAGCGGCGAGGGTGCTGGGGACACTGGTGCTACTGCAGTCCTCTCAGACACAGCAGGCATGAATCCCCAGCCGCCTTGGGTCTGTGTTCCCAGGCTGGGCCTTGCCACACCCACCCTTGTACCCTGCGAGGGCGACCTTCCTCTTCCCAAACATGGCCTGTCACTCGGAGATGGTGGCACAGGGCATGGGTCTGGGGACAGCTCAGCCCGCCAGCCTTGTGGGGAGGCCCTGCACTCCGTTCATTTGATGACAGTGACACCCCTCCCCCCCACTGTGACCACAGAAATGTCCCCAGGTATCACCAAGTATCCCCAGGGGCACAGAACCACCTGACTCAGGCAAGTGCCTTTGGGCAAAGGTGACAAGATCCCCTCTGAGGCAAAGCCACAGAGAAGGAAACAGTGAAACAAGTGAGCCCAGAAGGTGATGTCAAAAGAGATCAGAGAAGGGGACAGTAGCTTCTCTGAGGACCTGTGGCCCAGGAAGAAAGGCCTGGAGGGGCAGGTGGAGGGGCTCCCCAGGAGGACACCCTCCACACTGTCCCCAGGGCAGTAGCCCACGCCCTGTGGGGCTGCACCTCTGCTCCTCTTATATTCATGAGACCCTGGGCAAGTCACATGCCCGCTGAAATCCTCAGTTTCCCCATCTGAAAAAGAAGAGCCCTCCTGTGCAAAAAGTCCCTCTGGATACCAGGGCCAATGTCAGAGCACAAAAGGTTGGTGATAGACTTTAAGAGAACTGAAGGGCTTACTTAGCTCAGCATCCAACGGCTGCTAAGGGAAGGAGGCCGGATTTGAACCAGGTCTGGCTTCCCACTGCACCCGACTCCCTCACCGGAAGAAACCATCGCTGTGCGTAGACCTCAGGAACAAGGACACTTCAAACCAGAAAGTGTTGAAACGCCCCTTCTCTGCCCACCTCCTCCTCACCTTCTATCAGAGCACAGACCGCATGTATGAATTGCTGTAAATGACCACATTTCCAAGAAGAAAATGACAAGACCTTGATAAAAATAATTTCTTCCAAACCCAAGCCTTAAAATCATGATGGAACACAAAGATCCATCCATCAACAGATACATGGATAAACAAAAGGCGGTGTATATAGACAGCAGAATATTACTCAGCCACAAAGAGGAACGAGGTCCTGATGCATGGTACAATGCGGATGAACCCTGAAACCATCGCGCTGAGTGCGAGAAGCCAGACACCGAATGCCACGTGTTGTGTGACCCCATGCATATGAAACATCCCGAACAGGCGCGTCCACAGAGACAGAAAGAGGATCAGTGGTTTCCAGGGGCTGGAGGACGGGGATGACAGTCATGGGGACAGGGTTTTATTTTGGAGAGAAATGAAAATGTTTTGGAAGTAGACAGAGATGGTGGTTGTGCAATACTGTGAATGTACCAAATGCCATTTGAATTTTCCACTTTAAAAACGGCTTATTTTATGTCATGTGAATTTCATCTCAATAAAAAGAGATGGAGGAAAATAAAAAACAGAAGCATAAAAAAAGTCCACCAGTGAAGCATTTGTCTATCCAGTTGGGGGCACCTGCTTTTCTCCACCTTGGGAAGGGGTGATGGAGTCAGCGGGGGCTCTGCCTGGGAGCCTCAGGCACCTTCAGGNCCTTCCTCTTCCCAAACATGGCCTGTCACTCGGAGATGGTGGCACAGGGCATGGGTCTGGGGACAGCTCAGCCCGCCAGCCTTGTGGGGAGGCCACAGCCCCCTCCACAGAAGACACCCTGCCACCATCCTGCAGAACGGCAGATGGTGAAGGCCCAGCAGAGGGAAGCCCAGAGTGGGCTATGCCGGCAGGGTCTCAAGAGAGCTGGCACAGGATGCCCACACTCCATCTGCCCAGTGCCCTGCACTCCTCCGAGGAGAGAAGCAGGGCTGGGGGCCCCAGGGGTCTGCTGCATGTGCCTGCTGCCGGCTCACCCAGGGAAGGAGTCAGGAGGCAGGACATCCACATTCCTGGGCCAGAGGTGACCACGTCCCTACAGTCCCCAGAGGCTGATGTAGACGTGGCTGCTGCTGAGAGCACGTCCCACGCAGGTGTTCTAAGGCACAGTCTTGACAGCAGAAGCTCGAAGCTGCATCTCCCTCCTGCCAGGGTGTCCGCCTCTGACCCTAGCACTTCTGAGGCTGTGGTGTGCCTGGGTGAGGGCCCCCTTCCCCTTCATTTCCCCCAGAGGAGACTCCCAGAATCCTACCGTCTTCCCCGAGAAGCAGGCAGGGCAGATCCTCCCGGGCCAGCAGGACAGGACCTTTCCAGGGGGAAGAAGGGGGTAGGGGAGTGGTCTTCCCACCCCGAGGGACCCCTTAAACTGAAGGTGTCGACAACCGACGTGCCATCCCAGATTTCCATAGTGACCACGAGTCAGCTCTGGGAAGATTCGGTGCTGACCGTCAGATTCCCCAGGTTAAAGGTGCCAAGGCTCACCTACCCTGTCCCCGGCTCTGAGGCTGACATCTTCATCCCTGCTGTGAGAGAAATCCAGTGCCCAGATAGCAGCCTTGGCATGGCCCTGCAGAGGGAGAGCCCTGGAGTCTGGGGTGCTAGCATCCTGAAGGCAGGTGCTGGGGGGCCCAGGGAGCAGCCTGTGGTCCCTGGCCTCTCCTCGGAAGCTTCCCCCATTTCTAAGGTCAGAGTGCACATCCAGGGAACCCCGGCGGAGAGCCAGGGGGGCGCCATGTGCAGCACGGTGGCGGCTGAGTTTGCCGGCGTAGCGGATCCCCGGGCATTTTCCACGCAGGTTGTACGGGAATCCGAGATCCCAGCATCTGAGGTGCAGACACCTGCCTATGGATTCTCCTTATTAAAGGCGAAGATCCCAGAGCCCCTGCCTCAGGCTGGAGTGCGTGTGGGGACCCCAGACTCCCAGCTGAGGCGGGCTTTGCAAGAGGCTCCTGCACGTGCCGCCCCAGGAGCGGACCCCGCTTCTGGAGATCTTCAGTCCGACACCGGAGAGCCATTTGAAATGATCTCTTCCAGTGTCGTGGTGCCTGGACTGCAAACATGTGCATTTGAAGTTTGCTCTGGCCACCAGTTTGCAGACAGCTGTTCCGACGAGGAGCCTGCGGAAATCCTTGAATGTCCCCCTGAAGACAGCCAAGAGGGGGCCCCAGCTGAAGAGGGCAGGGCTCCAGGAGCAGAACCCGAAAGCAGAAGGGCTTCTGGTCTGTTCCGGCTGTGGCTCCCAAACATTGGGTTTTCTTCCTCTGTGGATGAGAAAAGCACCCAGTCCGAAGACACACTCCAAAGGCCAGAGGCGGGGCTGCCGCCCAGACCGGAGAAGACGGGCTGGTTTCGCTTTCCGAAACTAGGGTTCTCTTCGCCCACCAAGAAGAGCGCGCACGCCGAAGATGAGGCGAAGCTGGCAGAGCAGAAACTCCAAGAGGAAGCAGCCACCTTCTTCGATGCCCAAGACAGCTTCCCCCTTGAAGAGGCCGACGGGAGGCGCGCAGAGGCCGCGGGCCCCGCGCCAGCTCCAGCGCGATGCTGACATCCCGGAAGAACCGAGCTCGTCCTGCTGGAAGAGCACAGAAAGGCCCGCGGGGATCCTGTGCCGAGGCCCGTGACCGAGTGCGGGCCGGAGGGTCACTTTTTGGCAGAGGACAGCCACACAAATGAAGTCTGAAGGCAGAGCCATGACGTGCGCAGAGCACGCCTCCTGACAACGTGTGTCTATACCGCTTCGCGGGGCCCGAGAACAGCGGGCAGCCGCCCCACATCCCCCCTCAGCCCCCCCGCTCCCCCAGAGCTTTGGAAGCAAGTGCAACTACCTGGGCCCTGCGAGACGCCAGCTCCCACAGGGCCACCGCGCCCGTGACAGGGTGCTGGAGAGGGCGTTTCCCGGGGCAGCTGCCCAGCCCGCAGAGCCGGTCTGCTCCTCTGCAGAAGGGGCCCGAGGCTGGGCGCGTGGCTTCTGTGCACACTGCCCCACGGTGCTCCCCCGTGAGCAGGCTCCCCGTGTCTGGCACTCCCCAGGAGGACCTCCCCTGCTCCCTCGTGCTGTGCTTGCTCCTTGCTGACCGTCTCACCTGGCGAGCTCCGCGATGCCTTGTGTCATGACATGCACGCGCTGGCAGAAGGGTGGTACCTGTGGTATCCCTATGTGCCCACCACCTGCCGCTGTTCACTGATGCCCCTCTGCCCTGCCAGTCCCGCCCTGAGCCCTTTGGTGTACACATGGCGGCCAGGCTGAGATGGGATCTGCTGCCCACCTGGGCGGCCGTGCAATAAAGAAACCACGCACCGCACAGTGTCCGTGGGCCTCTTGTTCCGGTCAGGCTCACCTGCACCTTGCCCTCTCCCTACCCACTCCAAGCCCTCATCTCTGGGTTGCTCAGGAACACAGAGTGAAGGGAGACTCTTAGCGTGGTTGTCTATGTGCACGGAACCTCCACTGGGCCAGCAGCTGTGAGACCAAGGGACAAGGCTGGGTATGGCAGGGGGCACAGACAGACCACCCCCACCAGCCAGAGGCAGTGCAAGACAGGCAGCCATGCACAGGGCAGGGGCGCACAGAGAGATCCCTGGCCCAGAGGTGAGCTGGCTCCTGGGCCACTAAAGGGCCTGTTTCAGGCACTTCCTCACGCAGCAACCTGCCCCCCAGCCCTCAGGAAGCTAATCCATGTGGGGAAGCAGGTCAGTTCACGGGGGCTCCTGTGCCCTCTCCGTGGTCAGAGCTCCTGCTCCCAGCCACCCTCGGATGCCCCCGGCTCCCGGGGGACAAGAACCTCCAGCCACAGACAGCGGTGGCTGCCCTCAGGACTGTGGGGCGGGAGGGCCGGCAGGGCCCCCTGGAGGCTGTGGGCCTGGTGGGCAGCCTGCTGCCCGAGGCAGCCTGCGCTGGTGCTGCCCTGAGAGGGCCTGGAAGGGCGGTGGCCATGGGGCAGCAGTGGGGGTGGGGAGGACAGGCCGAGGCCCTCCCCATGCCACCGCGGCAGGCCATGTCTGTCCCTGGGGCTGGCTGGGAAGGTTGCCAAGTTAGGGGATGTGGAATCCTCTATTAAGTGCACTGACAGAGGGCCCCCAAGTGGCCCTGGAGTGGGGCAAGGGGGAGGAGAAAGTGGGGTCTTTTTCTTGCAGTCAAGAGAGGCCGTCACCCTCCCAGGCCGGCCCCTGCCTCTCCTTGTGTGTCAGGTGGACATGGTGGGCACGGTGCTCTGGGAACACCGGTGGCTGTCTCCTGGCTCCATGGGGTTCTGTCCACCTCTGAACCCGGGATCACGGCCTTGCGCCAGTGGCCAGAAGGCAGCAGTCCCGTCCCGTGGGGACCCACTGAGCGGCAGAGCCTCCCCAGGGCCTGAACCTCCTGGGTCCGGGCTGCCCATGCCGTGTAACGATAACACAAGTTAGCAGCTGGAAACGGCACACGGTTACAATCTCTCAGTTTCTGTGGGTCAGCAGTCCATGTGCAGCGTAGCCGGGGCCTCTGCTCAGGGTCCCACAGGGCTGCCATCCAGGGGCGGGCCAGGCTGTGATCTCATCTGCAGACCCAACTGGGGAAGAAGCCACTTCCAACACGCAGCTGCAGCAGTGTGCAATTTCTTGCAGGCTGGGTGATCAGCAGCCTCTGTTTCTTGCTGGCCATCTCTGCGCCCTGCCATGGGGGCCTCTCCGTGCGGCAGCCCACAGCCTAGAGGCTGGCTGCAGCGAGCCAGCAAAGGACAGACTCCTAGCAAGACGCTCGTACTCTTACGTATTCCTGGACGGGACATCCCACCCCCTCCATGCATTTCATTTGTTATAGGCAAGGACAAGTCTTGCCCACCCTCAGGGGGAGGAGACCACACCAGGGTGTGGGGCCTGGGGGCCATGTGAGAGCCTGTCCACTGCAGCCCAGGGGGCCCTGTACTCCCCAGGGTCTCTCAAGCCTCATCAAACTGGGTGTCCTGTGGGGGTCTGCTTTGGAGCAGGCCTTCGAGGTGGCCACTAAGGTGTGGCCGCCAGACCCAGAGTGTGCAAAGCAGCCTCCGCCAGTCAGGCCTGGGACAGTCACTGTGGCCTGTACCTGTTGTCCCACTGTGGCCTGGAGCAGAGTCCTCCTGGTCTGTGGTGGACCAGCCTTCTGGTGGGGAGCCGGCTGAGTGCCCCAGGACACATGCAGTTGCCCCAAGAACAAGACATCAAGCCTTAGAGGGCAGAGCAGGTCTGGGAGCAGCCTGCTTCTGGGGGGGCTATTGCCTTGCAGTGCATGGATGGGGCACAGGGCTAGGGGAGCTGCCCCAGCTGCCACCAGTGCTTGGCTTGGTCAAGTGCAGCTCCCAGACCAGCTCCCAGAGGCCTGGACACCTTTTAGGGCTTCACAGACCCAAGGCCCCCCTGTTCAGACCCTTGCAAGGCCTGGCAGGGAGGCCAGCTGGGCTCAGAGGGCCGTGTCCCCTGGCAAGGACGCCAATGTCTAGGTGCCCAGCACCGACCCAGCCTGCATTCCCTGGGCAGAGAGGACCAGGGGAGGTGGGGAAATGGCACCAAGATGGGGGCAGGAGCCTGGTGTCCACTCGCCTGGCCTCTGTAGGGCCAGGTCCCTTGGACCACTGAGCCAGTCCCAGACTCCAGAGCAGGGCAGGTAGGCTCAGAACCAGGAGATGACAGAGGCTTCCGATCCGGCACTCCCAGCAGAGGGGCCAGAACGAGTCACCGAACCAAGATTCAGGCGCTGCGTCTGCAGAGCAGGTACCCAGGCAGGTCCCAGGACAGGGTGGATTCAGAGAAGGGGCTGTATGCACACCAACCCAGCACGGTGTCGCCACGCCCCCAGCCACCTCAACCCGATCCTACGGACTCTACCCACACAGTCCCAGCCCCCTGCACACCAGGGCCAGCCACCATGCTGCCCCTGGTGCCATGCAGCAGCCCTGGGCCCACTCCCCACTCCAGGCCCCGCCCTCATGGGTACCCCTCACTGCCCCTGCCCCTGCCCCTGGGTTCCTACAAAGCAGCACGGCAAAGCCTCAGGGCTCCCAGTGCAGAGACGTGGTGTGGCCTGACCCGGGGGCCGTGTAGACACAGGACTTTCACAGGGTTCAGGGGGCTGAACAACAGCCTGGTACCAAGGAGGAGGGGGAGAAACCCCAAGCTGGACTCATGAGAGGCAGGGAGGCACAGAGGCAAGTATATGCTAAAGGCCCTTTTTGAAGGCTAGACAGTGGGAGTCAGGGAGGAGCATCCTGGAAGGCTCCCTGGAGGTGGGGTCTAAGAGGGCTGGATTTGGAGAGCAAACAATTTGCGCCTGGGGAGTCCTGCCCTGACCAGGGCTCATGGGGATGGAGCTGCTTGGTGCCCCGGTGTGGGGGGTGAGGTGGTTGGATGGGAGCAGCGCCTGCCAGGGGGTTCTGGTCCGGGCCTCAGTCCTGCCAGACGCAGTCCTGCCCCTGGGCCTGCCCGTCCAAGCGCACAGCATAGCGGGAGCTCCAGTCTCGCTCGAAGAGCTGGCGCAGCTGCTCCTGCGCAGTGGGTGGCCCTGGCTGGGTGTTGGGGGCCCTCTGGCTGAGTACCAGGCCCACCCCCGAGGTGCTGCTGAAGTAATTTTCGGACCAGTTGGAGGTGCCTGCCAGGATGTGGGTGGGAGAGAGATGCTTCTGAGCAGGCTCACAGGTCAGGGGCCCCCCTGCAGCCCCAGGACCAGACCCTGGCCCCAGAAGCCCCTCAGGAGGGCCAGCCAGCACATCACACGTGGAACTCTGCACTCATTGGCCTGGAACAGGCGGCCTGACTCGGCATTCCCAGGGTTCAGTGCTTCAGATTTCCTGTGTGCCCCATGGAGCCAGGTGACAGCGGGCTGCCGGCCCAGTCTTAGAACCCCACCAGAGACCCTGACCCCACTGAGCCACACATAAGAGCAGCGTCCCCTTCAGCACCTGGGCCTGGCCAACGCCTGGGGATGCATCCAACCTGTGGGGCGAGGAGCCTCTGTCACACCCACTCCCATGGCCCCCGTCAGAAACGCCAGGGCCCCATGCCACCAGGCCTGAGCCCACCCCTGCAGGCTGCCCCCACCCACCTATGTAGGCCGCCCTCTCGGTGACCATGAATTTGCTGTGGCTCACTCTGCTGAACGGGATGTTGGAGTGATTCCTCACCGGTACAATGAAGACTTTCTTGGGGAGCAGAGGGGTGTCAGGAGGGAGGAGGGCCACTTGGCCCCACCCAGCCTGGCCCCAGGAGCAGGTGCTTACCACATCCACTGAGACGTGGGCTGCAGGGTTGCTGAGGGCCTGCAGGGACCGCAGGTAGGGGAACATGCTGGGGTCCGTGTTGAGCCAGCAGCTGACGAGCAGGCGCACGTGCACGCCCCTGTCCACAGCTGCTGCCCGCAGCGCTGTGTCCAGCACTGGCCAGTACCTGCAGAGGGGAGGGCGTCAGGGTCCTCGGGACCAGGGCGCTGGCAGGAGGGGAGGCTGCGGGAACTGCCCTTGGGCAGCTGCCCGGCTCCCACCTGGTGGGGCGGCTGAAGCGTGTGGTGGGGAAGAACTCCATCACCTCGGCATAGATGAACACCCGGGCTCCCCCAATCACCGCCAGGAGCGCGTCCAGGTCCTGGGTGCGGCCGTGGGGGCAGAGCATTAGTGGCGATGCCTGCAGGGGGGAGAGGCCCCAGGTGTACTGCAGCCCCATTTCGGTCCACTTCATCCTGGACCACACACCCACCCTCTTGCACTTGGGAACCAGTAGGCAGACAGGAGGTGCTGCCTGGAGGGGTCGAGGGGAGGGAGGCTCTCAGGAGCCTCAGGTTGGCCCAGAGTCTTGGTGGGAAGGCCTGGGAGCAGCCGACCGTCCCAGGCTCCAGGCCGCCTGAATTCCTGGAAAGACAGCACCCTGCACAGGGAAGGTTCTGCGCCTGCTTGGGGGCCCCATGTCTAGGAAGGTGCTGGGGCTCTGACGCTGGGTGTCCACTGTTTCCAGCCATTGCTCCTTGATGGAGGGGCGTCTGCAGGTTTGCATGAACGGCTCGGCCCACACCTCAGTCTTCCTTCCACAGAGAGTGACAGAGTCAGTCACCGAAGAGCTGGTTCTCCCCACCCTCCGCAGTCAGAAGCCAGAGCCTTTTGACTCCACCAAACAGTGTGTTTCGGGAGTCCCAGGGCCACAGGGTGCCCCGCCACCTCCCAGGCCACCTGTCTCCCGTGGATAGCAATGGCTGGCATCCTTTCCTGGGGCTGGGCCTGCCGACAGCAGCCTGCCCCTCGCCCCCGCAGACCGCAGCCCTGTCCACGGCACTGGCTCCCCAACCTGAGAACCCAGCAGGCGCTGTGGTGTGGAGCAGGGCCTCCCGTGGATCTCGGCAGCCAGGGGGCTGTGACGGCCTCATGACCCCTCTTACCGAGAAGTAGGCAGTGGTGGGCACCCCGTCAAATTGGCCCTGGAAGGGGTGGAAACGGTTGATGTGGGAGGAGAAGCTCTGAGGCCAGGGTTTGGGGAGGACAGCCTTTGGTGCCCCCAGCACCCAGTAGGTCTGGAATGTCTTCTCCAGGTCTTGGGCCAGGCGGCTGCAGTTGTAGATGACAGCGCCCAGCTCCTTCACCTGCAGGGAAGGGCAGCAGCTGCTGGGGGGCCCTCGGTGGGGCTCTGCAGGCCCCCAGGCGAGGGACACTGGCAGGATGCAGCCCCACGCTGGCGGCCAAAGCAGGGTGGCCTCTCTGCAGGAACCGTAACAGACAGGGTGCTGGGGGAGCTGTGCGTGCAGCGCCCAGGGAGTCCCTGTCTTGAACACATTTCCAAAGATCAAAGCAGTACATGTTAATCACCAAAAACGTTTTCTGACAGTGTTTTAATGTGTTGCTTTTCCTGAACAGGACCGTGCTTGGTGGTCTGCGCACCTCCCTGGGTGGAGCTACTGGAACATGCTCCCTGCGACTGGATGGTAGCCCACGGTGGGTGGAATCGGTGACTCCCATCACTCCCACTATGGGGCCACATGACAGATGTGGCTATACTGCCCGGGGTCATGGCAGCTGCCTGGGGCCTCAGGCAAAGCCCCGGAGTGGCAGCTCTCCCCTCCCTGGGCTCTGGGACTCACCTGTGTCAGGGACCGCCAGTCCATGTTGGCACTGCCCAGGTAGATGTGCTTCCCGTCCACAATCCAGAATTTGGAGTGCAGAACACCCCCGGTGAGCTGTGTCATCGGCACATATCGCACCTGGGCACCTGGCCGGGGGTTCAGGGAGACAGTGACCTGGCCCTTGTTAAGGGCCAACTCCATGGGGAGCCTGGTTCCTGGCCCCTTCCCATTAGCTGTCCTTCACAGTTGATGCTACCATCGTCCCCATGTTATAGGTGGGAAAACAGGCACCCACGGGCCCAGGATCCTCCAGGCAGCCAGCCCAGGGCCCAGGGCTATGGGACGGCGCCCCTTGCCTCCTGCCCCCTGGCCGAGCTCCCAGCCTGAGCCCCCACCCACAGGTCAAAGCAGCTGGGCTCAGAGGGGCCAAGGCGCGCTGTGCTCTGCCCCAGGGAATGGCACCTGGGCTCCTTGGACCGGCCCTGCCCTGGTCAGGGCTGACTGAAAGGCACGGGCCACTCTGGCCTTCTGAGCTCCCAGCCTCCCCCGAGGCAGCTCTGCTGTCCTTGGTCTTATCCCATGGCGCCAGCAGGTCAGCCCACGCTCGGTCAGAAGACCCAGGATGGGCAGGTGCCTACCTTGGGCTGCCAGGACCTGCAGGTCTGTGGACTTCCTGGCCGGTGCTGGGCTGCTGGTGGCCACAGCCAGAGAAATGTTCCTGGCCAGCAGCTGCTGCAGTTTTTGAAGAAGGGCCTCTCCCTGCAAAGCCAGGCCAGCTGTGAGGCATGCCCCCAGGCTGGTCTCTGCCCCCAGCCCCTGCCAACTACGCAGGACCCAGACATTCCCCAGGAGGTCACCCCAGACTGCCCACAGCTCGGTCAGAGCAAGGTGCACCCCGACTTGCTGTGTGCCCAGCACTGGGCCAGGTTGGACAGCCTGCGGCCTGAGTTGGCGGCGGGGCCCGGGGCACACCGGCCGGGAAGACGAGTCGTTGACTCCAATGTCGGGCCCTGTGAGGGACCAGTAGAAGGAGGCCATGTGGATGCTCTCCCGGGCGGCGTCCAGCAGCTGTGGCCAGGCCTGGGCCAGGGGCGGGGCAGAAGGGCTTCCAGCGGCGAACGGCAGGTCCTGGGGGATGCTCTCGACAAGGACAAGCCTGTGGAGAGGGCCAGGGGCCCGAGCATGAGCTGCCAGCCTGCCTTGAGTCCCCCTCTGTCTCCACTGGCCAAGCTGGAGAGGCCGCTGCCAATGTGGCCCTGGAGCCCAAGCTGAGGCCAAGGGTACCCGGAGGGGACAGCCAACCAGACAGGGCAGGAGCAGTGCCTGAGGGGGGCCAGGAGTGGGGCAGGTTTGGGGCCCAGGTCCCACTGCAGTCCAGGGCACTGCCCTCGGGGGGAGGCGGCCAGAGCTGACCAGGAATGGGTGGGCACTCATCCATGGGCACCGGCCCTGCCCCAGAGCATGTCTACAGGGCACTCCAGGACTCCCGTATGGGGCAGAAAGAGCTCAGACGGTGCAGGCCTCAGCTCAGGTAAGACCGGGCTCACAGCCTGTTGGAGTCCCTGGGGGGCAGCCCCCCCTTCCCCACCCCCACCAGTCTACCCAGTCCGGCCCCCACAGGCTCCCCCTGCCTTCAGAAAGCAGCATCTCCCAGAGGAGCTGGTGGAGGGCAACGCCTATCCGTCGGGGCAGCATCGCCCGCCCCCCTGCAGACTCCCAGCCTCACTCACCGGCAGGAGTCCTTCGGCAGCTGCTGCCTGGCCTTCCCCAGCAGGGGTTCCCAGGCCGGTCTAGGGCCACTGGCCCTGAGCCTGGCGGGCCGCACCGCAGGGCGCGTCTGGGCCCAGATGGAAGGAGGGTGCACTTGCCACAGGAGGTACGTGAGAGTCGCAGTGCTGAGCCACAGCAGGGCCAGCCTTCCCAGCACCTGCAACTGGGGAAGGGTGTCTGTCATGCTGGGGTCCCCAGGGGACGTGCTGTGACGTTCTTCCAGTGGGCTGAGATGGTCCCTCAAGTGTGGAGACTATCCCCGGCTGCCAGGGAGGACCAGGCTGCAGCTGGGTGGGGCCGCAGGGGCAAGGGCTGAACAGGGCTCAAGTCCACTGTGTTAGGGACCAGGAGGCCTGGGCCTGCTCTGTGACACCGCGGCCATGTGGCAACTCTCAGTTCCCCCAGGACAGAGGGACGTGGGAAGGTGCCAACAGCCCACTGGGCAGGGTGCCCCCGAGTCTCCCCCTTGGTTGGCTTTCTGGCCCAGGCGCTCTGTGAGGCTGCTGAGCCTCCTCCTCTGGGACCCCAGTCCTACCATGCTGGCCTCTCTCTCCTGTGGGCTGTGGGGTGGCGTACAGTAGGGCCACACAGCAGCCACCGATGTTCTCTGCAAAGGTCTCAGCACCTGCACAGGGTGACTGGGCATCAACCACAGCTTCGCCTGGCTGGAGCGGCCCCACTGTGCCCAGGCAGCTGGGGGCCCCTAGGGACACCTGCTCAAACTCCCAGACGCCTCCAGACCCCTGTCCAAGGCGGAGCCCTGGGTGTGAGGCCAGCCCTTGGACTCTGCCACAGGCGGCCTCCATGTGGAGCCCAAAGCTGACCGAGCCCCCGCTTCTGTGTGTGTGTGCGCCTAGGCGCCCACCCCTGGCTGTGTTTCCCCTCTTGCTGGGTGTCTGGGTGTCTGAATCTTAGTTCCTTGTTTCAACCACAACGGCAACTAGCCTAAGTGCCATTTCTGCTTTCGCTCCTGCCTGTAGCTAGCCGCTTCCCTTCCCTGCACAGCCCCCTCCTGGGAGCCGGGCAGCGCCCCTGTGCCAGCCAGAAGAGCATGGCACAGAGAGGGCGAGAGGCCCAGTGTGGGCCAAGTCGGGGCCCCACGTTCCTTTTGGGGCCTTTCCCTCGGCAGCAGGAGTCTGCAGCCATCGGAACGGAGGACCTGTCCCCGCTGGAGGTGGGCCCCTCCCTGCTGCGCCTCGAATGCCACCACGAGCAGGTGCTCCCAAGTTCAGTGCGCCCTCCCTGGAGGGTGGAGAAGGGTTATACACAGCCGACCTCTGACTGAGAGGTCTCTGCCTTGGTGGGGTGGGGGCCTGGGGCCACACTGCATGCCTGTGGGTGGAGTTGGCCGGGCATGGGGCCCACAGAGGCAGGCCCTCAGCACAGGCTCCACTGCCACCACAGGTCAGACCGGGGGCAGCTGGCTCAGCCTCCAGGCCTCTGGGGTCCGTGCAGGGCTGCCCTCCCACAGGACTGAGGGCCTGCCTCAGCATGGGGACGAATGGCCATAGGCGCCAGGCCTGGGGGCTGTGTCTGCCCAGAGCCAGGCCGTTACAGGTCGGTGGGTGCCCCAGAAACCAGAACAAGAGAAGGGGCTCAGGCAGGGTCTCCGAGGTGTGGCACCCCACCCTGCCATGGAGTCCCCTAGAAAGGAGCCAGGGACCCCCTACTCCCACCCCCAGCCAGGGCCTCAAGGGTGCTCCCAAACCTTGGCAGAGCTGAGCTCAGGGGGCCTGCTCCCTCCCCACCACCCCCAGAGAGGGCTCAGGGCTCACTGGCAGACCTCTGTGGTGAACAGGGGTATCAGACCCCCTTCACTGACTCTCAGGAAAGGCTGGGGGCTAGGTGAGGGGGGCACCAGGGACAGACAGCCTTGAGGGGCTGCTGCCCACCCCAAACCACCCGGGAAGAGGGTCTCTGTCGACCAAATGTCTGGGCAGACAGGCTGGTCAGAGTGCAGTCCTGCCCCCAAGGCCGCCAGACCCCAGAACAGGAATCTCCTCCTGGCCCTGGGGAACCATGCTGGTGCCTGGGGAGGCTGGCCCATCTGCACTGGCATCTCAGGACACTGACAGGCCAGGAGACCCTTGGGGGCAGCTCTGAGCACCCCAGCCTGTGGTGGGCCGCCGTGGGACATGGGCTGCACCAGAGGTCATGGCTGAAGGTGTGGGGCTCCCTGCTCTGCAGGGTGAAGGGGGCAGCTGCCTGGCCTGGGCTGGGACGGAGGGCCTGCTCTCGCCTCACCAGAAGACCCTGAGGCCCTGGTGGTCCTGGCTCTGCAAACTGGGGGAGGAGTGGGTGGTCTGCAGGCCCAGCTAGAGGCTCTGTTACCCTCTAGGTCTGGGGTTGCTGGTGGCCTGGGGCCCTAGGGTGGCAGCTGGCAACCCCCTTCCCAGGGCAGGGCCTGGTTCTCCTACCAGGCCCTGGCCTCACTGGCACTTACCTCTGGGGGTCCCACCTGAACGTCCATCTTGGCCCCACCGCAGACTGCCGGTCCGCAGCTGCCCCAGCCCGCCTACCTGCCTCCTCTCTGCAGTTTGCTGCTTCCCCTTCTGGCCACTTCCTCCTAGTCCTGAGTACCCCCCACCCCCTGCATCCTGACAGACATCGGGGCTGGGTGAGCCCGTTAGAGGCGGGGCTGAGGGCTTTACCCTCCAGAGAACCCCCTCCTCTCCGGCTGACCTCCCCACCTCTCAGGTGGACCCCACCGCCAGAGGCCTGGGTGTCATGGCTGGGCTTGATACAGGCTGCGGACCCAAGCAGTCATGGCTTAACAAGACTGTTTATTTCTCTTTCGCACAAACCAGGCTCAGGGGCTGCCGGCCTAAAACTGGTGTCGGCCCCACAGCCACTGGCAGCCAGGTCCCTGCAGTTCTCAGCTCCCAGTTCCTAGGGCTGACCAGCAGCCTCAGGGTCCCACAGTGGCTGCTGGAGCTCAGCTGTTAGTTACCTCTGTGTTCCTAGAAGAGCATAAGAGGCATCAGAGGAGGCACCCTGGAGTCCCACAAAGGCACGTGCACTTACAATCCCGTGGCATGGGACTCAGTCACATGCCTGCACCTAGCTGCAGGGGGGGGGGCTGGGAAACGGAGGCAGCTAGGGCCCCGTTCTGGAGAATGCAGATGGCACTGCTCACTGGCCTGTGTGAAAAGGCAGGCCTGGCTGTAGGCCGCCAGTGCTCAGCCTCGGTTGCCAGGGAGCAACCCTGCCTCCCCACCAAATGGGGCTCCCTGAGTACCTGAGCCGGCAGACTGGGCCATTCAGCATGGCCCCCTACTACCTTTGAATGAGATCTGGCCGCCGCAGGCTCCGGCCTTGTGGGGACCTGTCCAGGGTGCTGACCTCAGGGTGCCCGCAGGAGAGAGTTGCTTTTCACTGGGCTGGAGCAGGTCCTGAAGGCAGGGCCTGCGGAGGGGGCCTGGGGCTGGTGTGGGGGGCTGGGAACTGACCGTGAGGGCACAGGCCCCAGGCCCCTGCACCTCCCAGACCCTCTGCCTCAGCCGGCCTTGGTCTCTGCAGGCTGAGCGCTGCTCCGTCTCCCCAGGAGCACGGCTGCACATCTTCCCTCCCCTGGGTACTGAGGGTGGCAGTGCCAGCACGTAAAGGCTGCTGGTCTGGGAGCTGGAGGTCCTGGTGTGCCTGCCATGTGCGCATCCCCGCTTCATGTTTGGGGGGCTGGGCTCCCCTTCTGTGAGGCCCTGTTCATGGCTTTGGACCCATTTTTAAATTGAGTCATTGACCTTTCCCTATGGATTTGAAGGACTTACTTATATTTCCTGGGCTGTCCGTTGTATGTGTGGAAACTTCTCTCCCTTTGCTGCCTTGTTTATACTCCCGATTTTCAAAAAAACCCCAGACACACAGAAAGTGGAGAGCAGGGTATGATGAGCGGCCTTTTGCTCACCGCTTGGATTTCATGGTTGCAGAATTTATTTACAGGGGCCTGTTATTTACCCTCCCAGTTTGGGGCAGGAAGTCTGAGATGGAGGCCCTGGCAGCTTCTGTGTCTGGTCAGCCTGCCTCCTGGCCCACGTCAGCGCTAGTCCTCACATGGCGGAGGGGCCGGTGAGCCCTGCGGGGTCTTTGAGGAGGGTGCTCACCCAACACAGGGCTCGCCCCTCGTGACCTCATCACCTCCCAGAGGCTCCTTGTCCTGACACATCATGTCAAACCTCAGGACTTAAAATATGAATTTGGGAGGGACATACACTCAGTCTACAACGATGTCCAAATGCTCCCAAATGTCCCCAAAATGTCTTTTCCGGCTGATTTGCTACCGTATCAAATTGAGGTCCCCACACTGAGTTTGCTTTGTGACTTTTAAATCACTTCCCCCACAAAAAACACAACCTTCCCACAGCTCTCTCCCTGCCCCCTGGAGCCTCTGCCTGGGCCCCGGGTGTGAGGAGCAGAGCCTCCCGGTGGAGGGCCTCATCCTGGCAGCGCCGTGTACGGGTCCCCAGGGCCGCAGCTTCCCACGCACAGCGACGCCGATCAGGATGTTCGGCCCGTCCCGCCCAGAAAGCAGCCGGAGGGTCGGCCCTCGGTGCCCTGCGGATACCTGGTATCTCAGCAGGCGTAGCTGTTGCCTTGTCCTCACGCCTCTACTGTCAGGAGCTGGGCAGCGTCCTGTGAGGAAGGCCCTGCTGGCATCTGATATGACATCACATCAGCTTTGGGCGCACAGCACAGGATCTGTGCACACGTTGCAAAATGGTCCCCACAGTACACTTGGCTCACACCCGTCACCTCCCATAGCTACAATTTGTTTTTCTTGTGATGAGGACTTTTAAGATCTACTCTCTTAGTGACTGTGAATATGAACGAGTCACCATGTCCCTTACATGCCTGGGGTGACCTGTGGATTCCTGGAGCCCGCTGGGCGCAACGCCCCTCTCTCCACTACAGTCTGGCTGCGTGGCCCCCCACCCACCCTCAGCTCTGGGGCTCAACTCGGCAGCACCGACACACTACGGACGCTTCGTCTCCAGGCTGCCCGTCGCCTGACAGGGTCCGTGCAGGGCCACCGTGCTCCTTTTCCTTCTCAGGACCAGAGTTCTGTGCTGCCTGCTGGCCATGGTCTCAAAACTGCTGTTTCGTGTATTTTTTTACTCATGAAACTGAGTAAGGGCAGTTTCTCATGAACATTATATTCTGAGCAAAATCAAGGTTTACTTTGTGTGGGGGTTGTAATTTGAACTTTCGGCCATTATTACTTGGAATATTTTTTCCCAGAGATTTTCCCTGAAAAGAGAAAGCCTTAATTTTTTTTTTTTTTTAGAGGGCATCTCCCATATTTATTGATCAAATGGTTGTTAACAACAATAAAATTCAGTATAGGGGGGTCAATGCTCAATGTACAATCAATCCATCTCAAGCCTAATTCTCGTTAGTCTCCAATCTTCTGAAGCATAACGAACAAGTTCTTACATGGTGAACGAATTCTTACATAGTGAATAAATTCTTAGATGGTGAACAGTACAAGGGCAGTCATCACAGAAACTTTCGGTTTTGATCACACATTATGACCTATAAACAATCAGGTCAAATATGAATATTCGTTTGATTTTTGTACTTGATTTATATGTTGATCCCACATTTCTCCTATTATTATTATTATTTTTATTTTTAATAAAATGCTGAAGTGGTAGGTAGATGCAAGATAAAGGTAGAAAACATAGTTTAGTGCTGTAAGAAGGCAAATGTAGATGATCAGATGATCAGGTGTGTGCCTATGGACTAAGTATTAATCCAGGCTAGACAAGGGCAGCAAGACATCCACGGATGCAGAAGATTTCTCTCAAAGCAGGGGGGGTGAGGTTCTGAGCCTCACCTCTGTTGATCCCCAAATTCTCACCTGATGGCCCCCCTGCGACTGTGCCTGTCTTAGGTTGTTCCTCCCTTGAGGAATCTTACCCGTCTCTGGCTAACCAGTCATCTTCCGGGGCCATACAGGGAAATGTAAAGTTGGTAAGTGAGAGAGAAGCCATATTGTTTGCAAAGGTTAGCTTTTTACTTCTTTGCAGATTTATGCCCTGTGGCTTCTATGCCCAGCACTTGTCTCGAGGTATCTTTACCACCTGGAGGAATTATGATACTCGGTAAATTCGATATGAGGCACGAATTCTATTTAAGGGTTGTAATTAGGAAGGAAGAAGAAAAGCTATAGATGTAGCATATGAAGGAAACTTGGGAGGATTGATTATTTCTTTGACATATCTTCTTGTATAGTACCTTAAGTATGTATAGGTTTTAAACTACTAACTAATTTGCACACACATATTAACATAATAGGAATACGGTGACATAAACAAAGCAAATCTATAATTACCAGCCATCTCCAGTGAAGCCAAGAAAACCATTTAGGCACCCTAGGCATTTGTGAAAATTTATCTATGATATGATGGATATTGTCCAACTGTACTTGAACCATCAGACAAATTAAAGCAGCCCATTTCTGGGATCTGTTCACATCCCATATGTTCTTTTAACCATAGATAGTCTATAGTCATGAGATTTTGGGGTGCTACAACTTGCACCCCTCCCAACTCCTGGTTGAGTTCCAACAGTACAGATCCAGTCAAATTCGTTGTCTCACTGTATGCACATGCCAGCCTAGACATCTCCCTCCTCCTTCTTATGGCAAGTCCAGGAGACGGTGGGCTGGATGCAGCCACAACCGCAGCATCGTCCGGATCCCTGTGGAGGCTTTTTGATGATCATCCCCCGGCACGAGTCCTCCAGAGAGTGCTGATGCCGGAAGCTCCTCCTCATATCGTATCTTAGTTCATTTTCTGGGTATCCAAGCTAGGCCTTGATCTTCTGCGTAGAAACAAACAGACCCTTTGCCCACACTTTGACATGCCCTCTATACCACTGTGCAGAACTCATTGGAGGTCAGCACACAGTAACTGCTTTTTTTTTTTTTTTTTAATTAAGAGAAAGGAATATTATCAGAAAAGAGTACCTCCATAGCTGATCATCTGACACCCTTTAAGTGATCAACATTAAGGATATTTAAAGCATGCGTTGATCTTTGATTTACCAATAGTTTTATCCTGTTAAGGAGTAATCCCCCTTTTCTTTCTTTCTTTCTTTTTTTTTTTTAATTTTTAATCTACACTTACCTGAAGAATACTATGTTTACTATGCTCTCCCCTATATCAGGTCCCCCCTAACAACCACATTACGGTTACTGTCCATCAGCTTAGCAAAATGTTGTAGAGTCACTACTTGTCCTCTCTGTGTTGTGCAGCCCACCCTCCCCTTTCTCCCTCCCCCCCATGCATGCTAATCTTAATACCCCCCTTCTTCTTCCCCCCCCTTATCCCTCCCTGCCCACCCATCCTCCCCAGTTCCTTTCCCTTTGGTACCTGTTAGTCCATTTTTGGGTTCTGTAATTCTGCTGCTGTTTTGTTCCTTCAGTTTTTCCTTTGTTCCTATACTCCTCAGATGAGTGAAATCATTTGGTATTTCTCTTTCTCCGCTTGGCTTATTTCACTGAGCATAATACTCTCCAGCTCCATCCATGTTGCTGCAAATGGTTGGATTTTTCCACTTCTTATGGCTGAGT